ATGTATGAGCTACAGTCTAGACTCCTTCAAGGGGGTTATGTAGGGGATTAATTATAGGGGACCACTGCATCAGCTATTAAGAGGGATACCAGTTACTAGCAGTTTAGACTATGGTTCGTATGAGCTTGGCCAAAGACTCAGTGCACAAAGCAGTATGGGCGTTTCAAAAAGATGCCCCCCGAAGAAACTGGGCTGCTGTTAAGGAACTTAATTTAAGTTACTATATTGGTGAAACCATCTTATTTACTTGTTATACCCATTATTGTACCTGAACTGAATAAGTTCCTTAACAGCAACCCAGTGAATGCAATCTCATACGCAAGGATAACCCTACACATTCATATCATGTTTAATCCAGAGGTCACAGGAAAGATGAGCTTGAATACTTGCAGCAGCCATCCCTTGGGTTCCTTCTGCTCCCACGAGCAATCAATCCCTAGGCTGCTTCAAGGCAAGCTAATCAAATTTTCTAGAGCGGAGGAGCTACCCCAGACCCTAACCTAACCCTTGACCTTAAGCCCTACAACAACAAATGCGCTAGAATCCCCATCAAACCAAAAATGCCCTTGCCCGCACGAACATGGAACCCCGTGAAGCAGCAGCGTCATCTTTGCATGTCACCTTTTGGGATCCCATGTCACATGTTAGCTTGGGGAAAAAGAATATATATATATCAAAAATCCTATGCGTCCACCTGCTTTATAACCCCTAAACCCTTACTCCCTTTTTGCATCCAGCTGGTGAACCCTTACCAACTAAACCCCTAAAGCGTGTCGGCATCCCTACATCTCCCTAGAAATGCTGGACCCAAAAGCACCATATGCGTTCTAGGCTATATACATCCCTATATATCCATAAATCATCCCTAGACGGGCTCCATCCCAAGCTGACCTTCGCTGGCCCGCCGAAGGCCCAAACTGGCCGGCCCCTTTGCTCGCTAGCTGGCTCTGCCTGCCCACAGCACCAGGATATCAGCTTATAGCCGCCCGTAAGTAGACAGAATATGGTTTTGGGCATATTCTCATAAGACCCCCATATACACCATATTCTATCCCTTTTAAGGGGGACCATAATTTTTAGAGCTTTGCCACTTGCATGGGCGAAGCCGCGAGAGGAAGCAGCACGAGGAAGGTTTAGAGACCAAGGTTTCAGGTTTATAGGGTTTAGGCTTTACGGTTTAGGGCACATGTTCTCGGGTGGTCTTCTGAAGGCTCCCCAAAATCATTTCTGAACGTGTTTTGTTTCACATGTTAAGGAAAAAGAACCAGTTTCCCAATAATGGTTATCCCAAACCACGACTTAGATGCTTAATCATTCCACGACTAGGACTAGGAACAGGAGCCCTACTTCCGCCATCGCCACTCCACGACTGTGAACATGACAACGACCATGAGAAGGATGATGATGATGCTGATGATGATGATGATGATGCAGACTGGGGTCTGAAGTACTTCTCGTCCTCTCGGGCACAAAACTGAACCCCCCAAATCCACAAACCCCGCCGCCTACACACATGAACCTCCAACTGACCTTTACTCTCGCAATCAGCAGGCCGTCAACCATCCTAAGACCCGCTTGAACCCTGAACCCGGTTTTTGCAGTGTTGATGTCTGCCAAAAAAAGGGGGCGGCTGAACGAGGTTGCGCCCAGTACGTGCTGGGACCTAGTGACTTCGAACCACCTCTAATCGTCCTCACCGCTGTTGTCATCCTCCAAGTTGTCTTCGTCCTCAGACTCGGCTTTCTCCAGCGACGTCAGGAATGGTGCGGTAAACTTCTTGGCTTCATCACATCCTGGCTCTCCAACTCCTCCGTCATGCTTGTAATGCGAGAGGATGTCCTTCTTCTCGGCCGAGCCCTCATCGTAGGATGTCTTCGGCACCATGACAAAGCCCTTTGAAATCGTTGGGTTCGCCTAAGGTAGGCAGCCAAGACTCAGAGAACCTCACTGGTTTGCATTTTCGGGCTGTTGATGACTTTTTCAACCAACGCACGGACTTCACGCGGTGCCTTGGCATCCATGGAGTTGCCACACAGTACCTCAAAGGCAATGAACAGACGAAGCTTGTTGTCAAAGGCCTTCGCCAATTGCTGCATACGCAGCTGGTAAAAGCCAGCCTTGCCTGGCTTGCCTCCTTTGCTCTCCACGAACTCCTTCAGAACGCCAATCACCGACTTGGTCTGCTCGTCGTCGTGCGCGAAGTTCTTCACATCCTTGTCTGAATCCTCGTCTTCTTCCTCCTCCTTTTCCTTCTTCTCCTTTTTGTCCTGCTTCTCCTGTTTGTCCTTCTTTTCCTTTTTGTCCTTCTTCTCCTTGTCCGGATACTTCTCCTTTTTCTCCTTCTTCTCCTGCTTTTCCTTCTCCTTGTCTTCGTCACTGTCGTCGGCTTCCTTCTTTTTATCATGTTTTTCTTTACTTCCCTTCTCGTCCTTCTTTTCCTTCTCGTGCTTGCCACTTCCAGAATGGTCATCATCATCCTTGTCGTCTTCATTGGCATTCTTATCCTCTTTGCGGCCCTTCTCCTTCTTGCTGCACATGCCTCCCTGATCGACAGTGCCGAGCGCCATTCCAGACTCATCGGGAGGTTTCTTGAGGATGAATGCCGCAAGCTTGTGTTCACCTTGCCAAGCGCAGGCGTTGCATCGACTCTGAATGATGCCCTTCTTGATGAACATCGCCATGTTTGCGACAAGAGATCAGACCAAGTTCCTTGCTCTTACTGAAATGCCTTCAGAGGCATGCAGGTTTTGGTCTAAAGAGATGCCGTGGGCCTTTGGCAGGCCAACAAGGAATGGCTCAGAAGCATACTAGAGCCGTGCCACTCCTCCTTCTCCTCAAAATTCGCCCCAGGCATGGATTTGCGCGCAGCACTGGCTTAAGCCAAAATGGCTTGTAGATGCCAAGCCCTTGGGCATGAACCCCAAGTCCCAAACCCTAAGCGCCAAACCCCTTTAGGTTAGTGTTTGGGGCAAACTCCAAACTCTTCTCCCCAAGCTGCCATCGGAAGCGGCGAGGGTGCCAGTGTCGCTGAAGGGCGCGGTCTTGAGTTCGACCTTTTCAGGGCTACTGTACAAGCCTGAGTCACCAATACTAAATCTTTTTGAGGTACCCCATACCATGACCATATTAAATATTATGAGCGACGTTCAAAACTCCTTACTGCTGTTCATGGACGCCAAAATGGGTGTGTCGCTTTTCAATGACTCCTATCGTTTTGCGCGATTTTGTTCTCAAGTTGTGGTTCTGTGAAATGGGGAGTGTCCTGTCAGGGTTTTCACCTGAAAGCTCTGCGATGTCGCTTATTAATGTTCCCGTCGCTTTACAGGATTGTTGCTTCCCATGTCCGCTACTGACGTAACTCCTTGGATCCGAGTATTAACTGCGGCTCATATGGGATGAAGGACCATAATGTTGGTAAGTACATAAGCTCCGTTTTTGCGTCTGGGCTCCAGCAGGCCCTGCCAGAAAGTGGGCCCAGGTGACCAGATATACAAACCCTGAACCCTAAACTCGATTCCCAACATGTGGGGTCCTGAGGGTCATGGAAGCTCAGGATTGATAGTATCCATCTTTCTACAATGCAGGTGCTTGACCTTTGAACTTCTGCGTGCAAGCGTTGCGCACCGCCATCCTTCTGTCGTTGGCTAATGAGGGGATGTTGAAACTATAAAGACCATATGACAATAATAAGGTCCCATTTCTAGGGCTTTGGGTAGCCAAACTCCCGTTATCACTGGTGCCATGTCGGACACACTGTTCATTTCATTGCGCGAAGTAGCATTAGTAGCATTGCTGTGAGATTTCCACGACAGATAGACAGGCCCGAAATCCGAGCATACTGCAACCCTTGTTACAAGGATCCTTATTACAAGGACTCCGAGGACGGCGCCCTATTTTTTGGAACCCCTAATCCCTACAAAACGCTATCTCGTGCAAGTTCCCATTTTGTCTAAAATTTTCCATTTGATTCTTTTAGGAAACCCCAAATCTTGGATTTCTCACAGCAGGGCTAGTTTCCCAAAATAAGGGTGCCCAAGATAGAGCCCCCAATATTATTGCAATCCTTACTATGGGGACCCCCCAAAAAAGGTATCCCCTACTCATTTTGCATTTTCTTTTCCACTTGATTCTCCATTAATTGGGATACGACGTCCCTTAACAATCCCTATATAACCGGAATTTTGGGAAATCCTAAAACCTCATATACCCCTATATTACCCCTATATAACCCTTACATACCCCCCCAAACTAACCCTCTTGAAGGTTCCCCTAATTGTGGGAAACCTCCCAGGTCGACTAAAAAGCTGTCGGCCTGGGAGTGGAGATGAAGCCAAGACGTCCATCTTGACCTCTGTCAATTCTGGATTTAGGGATTTAAGGTTTTGGGTTTTGGGATTTAGGGCTTAGATGGGTTTAGGCTTTGGGTGTTTAGGGTTTAGATGGGTTTAGGGTTTTTGGGGTTTAGGGTTTTTGGGGTTTAGGGTTTTGGGGTTTAGGGTTTAGGGTTAAGGGGAAGCCTTACCAGAAATTTAAGTTACTAACTATGCGCATGGGCGCATGGGGGGAGGGGGGTGTACTACTTCGGCTGTTTATTGGGGGTATCATGTTCTGTCTGCTTGTTTTGGGCTTCTAATATCTTAGCTGCTTTATTGGGGTGCTCGAAATAAGAGAACGAAATTGTTCAGGACAAAAAAGCAGCCCAACAGTCAGATCCTGGGGATCAGCGTCAGAGGATAGAACCCTGATTCTGTTGGACTTCTTTGGCTGTGTGGCTGTGTGGCTGTGGAACAAACGACCTCTGAAAACCCTTCTGTGGGTGGGGAAGGTGTTGGGAGCTTGGGGTTTAGGGTTAGAGGGCTTCAGTTGTGCTCACTTCGCTCAAATCAGAAGAAAAGATCCGGACTTCGCCGCAAATAACCATTTTCAAAACGGCCCTTCTGCAAGAAACACTCTCAGCGCTAAGCTAAAGTGTAAAGAAGAAGGGTGGATGTGGCCAGCATGCCTGCGATCATCTCAGGACAAACCTTTAGCAGAGTTCTACAGAAGGCAACTCCAGGTATTGGTGGGGTAGGGCTACGGTATGTGGACCAGGCTGGGTGAAGAGTGGCTCAGTCTTCTTTAAGGTGTTCTTCCAACATCTTGCAAAGGTTAATAATATGATTGATACGCGTACGGGCTGACTATAAAGTCACTTCAGGGGTTCCTGGAACCCAAATCCACCTGAACCCTAAACCCTTCAAAGTCCGGCGGCTGTAGTAGTTGTGGCCGGTCGCAATACCGCTGTGGCTGTCCTCAGCACTAAGGCTGCTGCTTAAGCGTTTCCCACTGCGACGGATCCCTTTGGGTCATGCACTTTCATGTAATATGATTGTCTGGGGAGGCCCTTGTTGACATACGACATACACCATCTTTGTTCGTTGACGAGCTTGAGTCTCCCTTCTTATAACTTCAGGGCCTGCAGACCCCTGTTAGTTACAAGGATCCCGGCATCGAACAACTCCCGTGCATTGTCTCCCCAGCATGTCTCCCCAGAAGCTGATACAGATCCTTGAGGCCCTGCTGGAATATATCGGCACTTGTGCTGCGGCTGAACAAAGCCTGTCTAATGCTTTGTCCTCTTACCCCCTGAGACAATACCACAATTCCAGACCCTTCATCCGTGGTTCCCGTATGCGTAAACATGATGTCAGGCCTAATCCTTGGCAAATGAGATGGGTCAACAATCATATTAATGAAGTACAGTGTGCTAGACAATGCAGGAGCCTGACTAACTGAATATCTACCAATGTCTGTTTGAGGTACCCTATACCA